CACTGGTACTCCTTTTCTTTTTACAGTACTGTGTGATCATGTGTGTATGAAATACATATGCATGTATTCAGAATCCATGTGTTTACAATAATACATTTAAAACCCATCATGTTCGACTCTTCTACATGTATATGACAATATAGAATATGTAAGGGTCATATAGAAACTATATGATACGTGTGGAAGTTGGTTTTACTCTTTTGTTTCACGAATAAAAATTAAGGTGGCAGGATTAAAAGATTTTATAAAGCGTCTGCTATGGATTGGTTTGTGTGTGGCAATATTGGCTCTACATAAATTTTCACTATTGAACTTGCAAACATCACAATTATTTCTTGAAGTGCGCACATCTTGTTATTACAGATGGATCAATAGTCTTGATAACACTGAATTTTTGTCAGACCTAACCTGGTAGACTTGTAATGTGTCCGAGAATTTTTGTCATTTATCTTGCAATGCACGAGACAAAAGTGTTTGCAGCCTTGCATAACATTGAATGTGGAAAGCAGACTGAAATATATCATGTGGCAGGGATTTTTGACAGGCCATGAGGGGGTAAGTTTGGGTTTTTATGCATAGTATATGAATCTGCCGGTTAAAATCCTGAACACTGTGTGTGTTCTAAGAATACAGAACAGCCCATGAGGCTTAAATTTGTGGTAGGCATGTTTTATCTAGTCTCTTTCTGATCATTTATTTAGCATTAGGTAACCTAATTCCTTTATTGAGTTAGAGGACAGATTAGCAAGGCACAAAAAGCAGGAGGAGGCTTTCTAAATGAGAGAGTGGTTACAGGTCAGGGGGCAGAACCTTGGCAATTGTAACTTGACATAGCTTGGAGCTCTGGCAATTTATACCCATTAAGGATCTGGCCCTAGATGCGTTAAGCACCAGCTGAGGGGGAGATGGCTATAGATCAAAGCAGTGCAAGATTCACTGTGTTTTCTTTTATTAAAACCACTCTACTTCGTGTGCCGGATTAATGTTGATAAACTTCAGAGAACAGTATGTTTTAAGGAGAAATGTGAATGAGAAGAGTAGGTTTCTTGGCACAGCAGCAGGAGGAGGAGGATTTCCTGGTGTAAGAGAAAACTGGGAAGAAGGCATGGCACATATGCAAGTGTTAGGACAGAGATGAAGGAAATCGTGGGTGGAGCATACAGAGCAAGAAGGAGAGGAGGAGGAGGAAGAGGTTTGTAATGACACATTACAAATACTCTTTAAAAGGTGTAAATCACAGCTTTTTCATGATGAACAAGAAATAAATGTATTTACGTTCCTAATACAAATACTTGACAATCAAAAGGAAAGACAATGCATGCTTAAGGACTTACGCATTCAAAGCATATTTTTGGAACTACTCTTGGATAATATCAAAAAAATAAACGTGAATTTCTCAGAAAGTTTAAAAAGAAAGTTTTTGTTTCAAATCACAGAAAAAATTAAACGATATAGGGTAATGTCCATCAGTCTGTCAATATTTAAACCTCTAGGAGGTAGTATAATATTGCCTATTCCTCAAATAATTTTTGGTAAATGATCACATTTTGGTAAATGACCACTGGCCAGTCTTCAGTACTCATAATGTAAATAGAATTGGAGACTGTAAAAGAAGGTTAGCGTGTGGGTCATTATTAGCGTTGCCAACTTGGTAATATTTAAAAACCAGACACTCCAGCAGAAGTGCAGTAACCTCCCTTGCCCTGCCTCTTCCCCCTGAGGCCCCAGCTCCTCCTCTTCCTCCTCCCTCCAGGTCACTTGCTGCTTTTCCCCTCACACCCCCACTGCCTGGGTCAGGAGGGGCTTGCCTGAGGAGCTGGGGCTGGGAGCTGCAGCTGCCCAATGCAGGTAGGAGGCAGCCTCGGCTGAGTAGGGGCTGACGCGGGTTAGTGACCTAGCTCCTCCCTGCCTCCCCCGCCTGTCAAACTGGACTTTGAGTGTCTGGGTGAGTAGATCTGACGAGACACTGTCAGATCCCCTTTTCAGCTGGACTTTCCAGTCGAAAACCAGGCACCTGACCGCCCTAGTTATTGCTTGTTACCATCAGGCCTTATCCAGATGTCTGGTGGTTAATGGAAGGAAATTTCCTGGAACATGCCTTAATGTTATCATGCAAGACCTAAGGAAAAAGGTATAGATTTCACTGCCAAACTTCACCAGGCCAAATATTAGGCCCAGTTAAATCAAGGACAAAACTCTCATTGACTTCAGAAGGACTAAAATTTAGCTTGCTGTGTCTTTTTAACTTAGCATTGTTTTCCAATACTGTTGAGGATAAAGTGAAACTTCTTTTGTGACCCATTAGACAATGTGTAGAGCTATCGAGAAATTGGTTGTGGTGAGTTTGCACACCCTTAGTTTCATTTTGTGTTTCTGATTTCAGAAAACTACAAAAATAAAAGCAAAACGTATTCAAAATTGCCAACTGTAGCCAGGTTTAGTGTGGGTGGGTGGTTTCTACAAAAAGCTATGTCAGAAAATTCATCTTAAATTCATCAGAGGGTTAGCAGACTTTGGTAAAACTTAAAATGATCCTAGCCCAAGGTTCAGGTTTGTGACAGGTTCCAACAGCTCTTTTATGGGTATATGTAAAATCCCCTTCTTTTTTACTCCTTTGAAGTACTTTGTATTTCTGTTGAACAAAATCTAATAAATAGAGTTTTAAAAGGAAGGTTTTTTTCCCTCAGAAACACTGAAGTTTCTAACATTAAAGTCATTTCCCACTTTTGCAGCTAGGATTACGCCTTTCTGTTTTTGCCCAATCTTGTCCCCACTCCTCTTGTGTTCCCTCAGCTCTTGCTCTTTAACCTGAAAATAATGTGAACAGCCCCTTATAGTGCCAAAACCACTGTTGCTTGCGGAACTGTCACACTCCCAGGTATTGAAAGCCCACTATGTTCCTTAACCCCGGGTTTCTACTTAATAATGTGCTGAGTAGCTCTGCTGTGTCAACAAGCCTGTTCAGGACTCTCATCCCCAAATTTAAAAAAACCCAACCTCTTCATGCAGATTTTTCCTGGCATAGAATACATAAAAATGTCCCTACATGGTATTCTAGATAATATTAACATTTCAGATCCAGCAGTAATAAGACAAAAACATCACCCAAAAATCTTTTGTGAAATATGTGAGACGTGGCAATGACCCAAATCCACATGTGCTGCTTTTCATTCAGTTTTCTATCCCACCAGTATATTTTACAACTTTCCCATTTGGAAAATGCTTCCTTAGGACTTTTTTTGTCCATGAGCCCTTTCAACAGGCCATGAGTAGCCTGCTATTACCATTCCCTGCCTCAGAAATTCTAATTCTGAATATATGAATAAATGGGTCGAGAAAAGCCTTCTTAAATAGTCAGTACCAATAATGATTAATTGTCACAGTTCAGGGCAACTGCACTTCTATCCCTGACCATGGTCCCTCAAGAGCACCCAATCTAGGCTCCTGGTTCCTCAGCAGTCACCTCTCTTGGGCGGAGACCCACATCTCTCTCTCTCTCCCTCCTGACCAGGGTTTTTTCCGGGCTGCACAGTTCCCTCCCTACACTGTGATATCCCCAGCAAGCCAGCCTGCCTACACAGGCCAGTGTCTGCACTTGGCTTTCTCTTAGAATGCTATGAACAGCAGTAATTGTCAGCAGTCACAAATTATAACTCTTTCTAAACAAGCACACTTGTCCTTAAGGTGAAGGTATTACAGAGAAAACATAAAAACAATAGAAGTTCCTATACTCTTTCTATCAGAGTCACCCATCAGTTTTATGGGGCCTCAGTGGGCCAAAGTCCTTCCATCCCTTCCCAGGGACTCTCCTTGTACAAAAGGTCCTGTCTGTTTGCTGGATCTGAAAGAATCCAGTTTAAACTCAAGCTATTCATCCAAAAGTCCTTTCTTGGTCTGTTGGTCTCTGGAGAATCCAGTTTGAACCACTATATGTGAACCTCTGCAGGTTGTGGTACTTCCCTGGTGGCATTACAATCTGAATGAATTTGCCTAATCACCCCACTGTCCTTGGTTCCTGGAGGAGCTGTATGTAGCTGAGGTCTGGCCTGACATGAGTAATTAACACAAGGAGGCCTCCGTTCTTGGAAGATACAAATAGGGAAGTAAATGAATCATCAGGTTGAAAACAGAACGTTTGTGCTAAATAAGATAAGTAAATAGGTCAGTAGGTTAAAAAAGGCAGAATGTCTGAGCCAACTAAGATAAGAGGGAGAAAGCTCAGGGGGCTGTTTACTATGAACTAGATAACAAGGGGCAAAATAAGTTAGGAATGCAGAGATAAAATAAAGAGGAAATTGAACCATGGACAGCGGGTGGACAGCACATGTTGCACAGGGATTGGTTCCTGCAAAATAACCAAGCCAATCCAAAAATGTGATGCGATGTATAGTAAATGCAATAAGATTGTAATGGATATAAAGTGAGAGGGTTTCTGTGTAACTTTGGAGCTGCGATGTACCCTGCACCCCGCCCCACTGTGTCTGAGTCTGATCAACTCAGTGTAGCACTGCTGTATGCCAAATAAAGATACCTGAGTGACGAAGGCAGCAGTCGAACTGAGTTTTTTGGAAGCCAAGTGGAAAGAGGTCTCAGGAGGAATCCTAAAACTGTGGTCACGTTCTCCCATGGAATTACATATATTCCCTGGCCCACATTGATATAATTTTAATACAGTCAGATCTCCCAAAGGTATTTCAGGAAGTTACATATCTGACACATTAATATTGTGGTAAGGCAACATCAGGGGCTCATTTTGTTAGGCACTGTACGCAAACACACAGGAAGACATAGACTCTGCTCTGAATTGCTGAATATCGAATGTAAGACATAAGCAACAAAGGGACACATCCTATTTCAGGAGGCTCTAAGGAGCAGCTCTTAGTTGCTTCTTCACCTGGTAAAATCAGAAAGATGCACAGTGTTATTGAAGGAAGAGACAATTTAGTCAATGCCTCCTTTGTGTTCAGTGTCTAATTTATATATGCTATTTCCTGCTACAGATGTAAATGAATGTACCATTGAGAATGGTGGCTGTCAGGACCAGTGCTGCAATACTATTGGCAGCTACTACTGCAGATGTCCAGCTGGCCAGAAATTGGGCGAAGATGGAAAATCATGTGAAGGTAACATTCTGCACTGTCTCTCTTTCCTGATAAAAAATCAGAGAACATCCTTGGAATGAAAACTGAGAGAGTTACCTTTTATCTAGAGCCAGCTGAAGTGCATAAATTCAGAATCGTCAAGAGTGCAGATCTTCTCCTGTGTGGATTATGAAGATGTAACTCTAAGAACACTTCAAAGGGTTCTTATGAAAAATGTATCATTTTGCCCTGGATTGGTTTGTGCCATGTTCTGATTGATGGCATTTCTATCATCAGTTTATAAATCTGAAGAAAGTGTACACATTGGAAAGTATTTCATCCGTTTCTAAAACAAAATATGCTTATCAGAAAGTACACATACATTTCTGCACTTCAGTTGCAGTTCCACAGCTACAGATGAAGCGACTAAAATAAGATTTGAAATCACATGCTACATAAACTCATTTGCCTTCTTTCTTAGGGAAACATGAAGCCAGATTCCTTGGTAAGATCTGGCTTGAATTTCATCCCTATGCAAAGGGCCAGCTTCAAAATAGGGTTTGCATGAGACTTAAGTGCTACATAGGTCTTATTTCACCCTTCTGCACATGGCTGAGTTTTATCACGGCTGTTCTGCAGCACTCTGTTAACGTACAACAGCGTAAACCTGTCTAACTGGCCCATTAAGCCAGGTTCAAAGCTATTTTGCATCAGCAAACTGATGCAAAGTAGTTAGTGTACCGGTAAATTTGGCCCATAGAGCAGTAGGCTATAGCAGGTGATGGCCTCCAAAAAGGTTTAGTTTATTTCTGAGGTCCCATGTGATCTTTCAGATGTGAACTTAGAAACCACCAGCTAAAACTCTCACTCATGCATGCACACGTGCTGGGACAGGTTATTTGCCGAGCTGTTGCCCTCTATCTTGTGTGGCTGTATTTCCTTGCTGCAGTAAATAAATAGTTGAAGCTCTTTTGGTTCCTTCAGGATGAAATGTGTTTTATGTATGTAGATTCTTGCAAACCATATTATCATCTTTCACAGCATGAAGACATTTCTGATAAGATTGTTTTCCCCATTGTACGCAATTGTGCAAATTCCTCTCTGCCAGGATTTCATTTTACTTTTGTCCTTTGCCTCCTGATTTTTAGTTAGATACATTACCATGTATGTCCCAGCTGTTGTTATATTCTTTACTGTATCTCTATAGCTTATTCAGAAACACTGTTTCCCAGACTGGAAGGTTGTAGGATTAGCTTCCACAGCAAGCTATCAGTTGGTATCCAGCTTGACAATATAAATAAGAACTAGATGGGCATTTTCTTTTGATTGAACTGTTTTTTTGTTGTTGGGTTTGTTTGTTTGTTTGTTTGTTTGTTAACTGAGGTCCTATGTGCTTCCCTTTGATGGATTTTTATATTCCAAATACACAAACTCAGAAAAAGTGTACATAATTCAAAGAGCTTTACTACCTTTCTTCAGTCTCCTGTTATTATCTTTAGTGATTCTTCGGAAATGTTTCTGTGAACAAGTTTGTATGTGTTTATATTGTTGAATACTTACAGTTTTCAGATTTGCTTTAAAGTAATTAATTGAGCTTCCAGGTAATCCTTCTTGTATTGAAAGCAAAGATTATGCATCTTACTCCTAAATTGCTTAAATATAACAACACAGTTTTGCAAAAAGAAAAGGAGTACTAGTGGCACCTTAGAGACTAACCAATTTATTTGAGCATAAGCTTTCGTGAGCTACAGCTCACTTCAGTAGCTCACGAAAGCTTATGCTCAAATAAATTGGTTAGTCTCTAAGGTGCCACAAGTACTCCTTTTCTTTTTGCGAATACAGACTAACACGGCTGCTACTCTGAATCACAATTTTGGTGAGAGCAGTAATGAGCTAGTTATGTATGTCTCCTCCTCAAATGTGGCATTACATTCTTTAAAAGGTGAAGCTAAGGATGTTTGACTCTCCTGTCAGGCATTTCCTTATGAGCAATTACAGAGGAATGCGGTGGTAGACCTTGTGAAGCTTATTTAAAACAATAGAAATAACATAAGTGTACAATTACAGTGTTCACCATTGAAATCTTTACAGTTTTTTCTTTTGTTTAATGATCATTAAAACATTAGTTATTTATTGTAATAAGCCAGTGGTTTTCAACCTTTTTCATTTGTGCCCCCCTAAAAAATTTCAAATGGAGTTTTGGGCCCCTTTGGAAATCTTACACTTAACCTGTGGACCCCCAGTGGTCTGCATTCCACAGCTTGAAAACTGCTGTCAAGCCAATGGAATACCACAAGTATAGCAGGCATGATCATTACTTGCAAACAGCTATTGTAAAGATTTTAATCCATATGTTCCTGTAGCCACAATACCTTCAGCTGTGACTTCATCAGGTTTAACAAGATAAGTAAGTTTCTACTTGGTCCTTGTTGGATGGGAGACCTCAAAGTAAAACTAAGAGTGCTTTGGGAAGTGATGCTGATAATTCAGGAGGTGGTACTCTACCCCTTTAAGTTGGTCCTGAGCCAATGCCCATTCATGATGCTACGTTGCACTGTGTAGACGGAGGTGACATTTTGCAGATGTGGTCTAAAACTGATCACTTTGTTGTCATTAAAATTACCATGGCATTTTCGAAGAGCAGGGCTGTTAGTCAATTTGATTACTTATATTCTGTTTGCCTGAATTTCCTCTGCCATCTCAGTTGCGTATCGTATTCAGTTTTAGTCCTAATTTACAGCATAGCATTCCTGTATATTGAACTGCTTCCATGCTCCATCCCCAAAGTGCTTTTACTTCCCTAATGAGTGAAGTGATTGATCACTACACATTTTTAGAACACTTTGAGATGTGTTAGGATGAAAGCTGCTGTACAAACGTGAAATTTAAATAGTGTAAAGGCATAGCATAAATAATGTGGACATTGTTATTTCTACTTTAGAGGATAATTACAGTTTTGGTCTTAATATCTTCAGAAAGAGAACATCGCCTGCCAATAAACAGTAGGGATATCATCAAGAAGTAGGTCCCAATTTCTGATTTTGTGTTATCCATCCATAATAGTGGGGCTGAAGAGAGAGGAGAGAAGTGGGTTGTAACTAATTTACTAATCCAACAGCACAACAAAATTTACCATTGTCCACGAAATTGTTTTAACAAGATAAAAATCTGAGCAGTTTTGGCAAACCATTGGCCTGATCTTATAAGGTGCTGAGCAGCATCCTCAGCCCCTCTTAGCTTCAATGGTAGTAAAGATGGACAGTGCCTTGCAGGATTCAGGCATACATGAATACAAGCAGTATAACAGTTGAAGAAAGGTGAAATAATCCTAGAACAAGTTACTGTGTTCAGCATTAACTAAGCCTTCATAGCTTTTTCCCATGGTTCTGTTGTTCATTAACAGTGCTGCATGGAGAATGAGATTGAATGGCGCTGCATGGAACTTTTAGTGCCGAAGATTCAATCATGTAAGGACCATTTTTTAGCCAGTTGTGAGATTGTAATGACAGGATATATAATCCATAATTATATACAATACTTTGCATTACCTTACTGAACAATGCTTACATCTGGCAGTAAATTGCAGTATGGTGAAGTAATGCACAGCTGAATAAAAATGCCAGAGGAGTGGGTTGATTAGCCTTTCAGAACTAATTCTGCATCTGCTGTGTTATGACAGTTTTATCTCCCACATCCCCAGACAGACTGACACTGGAGAATTCAGGATTTCACGTCTGACAAGCAAGGAAATTTTTGGCTTAGATATGTGCACATAACAGGTTTTGACATAAAAGTCAACCTTAACCCGCACTCTTCAGGTCAAATCTGGGTCCCATTGAAATTAATGGCAACACTTTTTTGACTTTAATGGGGAAAGGATTTAGCTCTAAATCACTGGGAGACTAATGAGATGAATTCCTCTCTGGCATAATTTTAAAGTCTGTGGAACTACTGTGTAGATGAATGTGGTCCAATAATTCTGGGGCAAATTCTGTTGCCCTTACATTAAGTAGTACCTTACTCTGCAAGTACTATAGTTAATTTCAGTAGATGAATTTGAAGAGTAAGATTGTACTCATAATGACTAAGGGTGGTGCAAACTTTCAGGTTGTTTACATTTTGTATCACTGTCTGTACTTGATTGTGGCGGAGAACCATTAACTCAGGGGAGGCAGTATGGCCTAGTGAATGGACTAAAGTAGGACTTGGGAGACCTTTAGTTCTGCCGCTAGTCTGCTGGGTAAACCTTGGGCAAGTCATTCCCTGGCTCTTTGCCTCAGTTTCTCCATTTTTAAAATGGGATTAATGGTATTGGCCTCCTTTTGTAAAGTGCCTTGTGATTACCTGCTGAAAACCACAAGAAGAGCTAAGTATTATAATTCTGTATATCACAAGAGTGCTAATTATATATAACAGTAAGAAAAAATAGTCTTTTCCAAAATGCAGAGTTTCAAAATTCCACAATATCAATATAATCTAAATTCTGACTTGTAAAGTATGATGAGCTAAAGCATGTGTTTACATGTGAATAAGCTACAGAAGTCAGATAAAGAGGTCATGACCCTATGTTAACCCTCTTTGGTAGGCTGTCATTTCTTATTTATATCATCATGTTCTCATCCATCAAGACCACTGTAGCTAGAGACCAGTGAAGTCACATGATTAGCTATTGACAAAAGGGAGCTTTTGTCTTACCAATTAGAATAATATTCCTCTCCTTGTAACTTGATCAGTGGACATCCCTGGGAGTTTTTGTTAAACTTCTGAGCGTTGGCAGATTTCCTGACCTTTATAAGATCATAATAATAATAATATAATAATTTATAATAGACCTCTGAGACTATTGAATTATAGGATAGTTATTGTCTAACTCTAAGACCACCATTGTTTATCCTAGTAATATAATAGTCATGGATGTCAAGTGATTTATCTTGATTCTATGTCTGAAGAAAACTCTTTAAATAGAGATTCCAAATAATAGCTAATAGCTTAATTTAAAAAAATAAAGGATTTGTGTAAGAGAGAGAAATTATGTGTTAAAA